AAAAAAAAAAAAAGTAATGAAGATTCCCAATTTGGGAGTCTTTCCACCTTCCTCCCTACAGAACCACATTTTTCACCTTAAATACATGAAAACAGTCCAAAGGTCCATGTGGCCCAACATTTCTTCAACTTGGTGCTCTCCAAATGTGAGAGAATGTGACCTCCATGTCTGTGGGCACCTTGGGGTGCATTCAAATACACCCATTGACCATGCTTCCGGAATAACAGGCCTGTTAAAGTTTTCCACCCAGGCAGTGGACAGAGGGAATTGAGTGGATAGAGGAATTCAGCAGGCAATTTATCTGAGTATTTTCCGCCAAGAGTAAAATAATTCCTCTAGCAAGTTGTCTTGGTTGCAGAATTTTCCACTAGAGGTGATAACAACGTTGTAACTGAAAAAGATGAGAAGTTCCATCAGGACATTGTTCCTCAGTATTTAATTTGCAATATCACACATGCTTAGCCACATAAAGAACTCTACCTTCTACCCGTGAAGTTTTTCCCCAAAATTTTCTGCTTCTTTGAAATACAATCTAAAGCAGATTCTCTTTCTGCAAACCAAATGAAAACACAGGACAATTTATTTGTCTGGCAATAAGAAAATATAAACCTTGGTTATTCCAGCTTCAGTGAGCCAAGAATTTAAAATGGAGTTTCCCACCAAATAATTAGGTAATAACTGTGGATATATTTCTCTTTATGAGTTATGTCATTTATCTTATTCCCAATCAGGTGTTATCCAAATGAGTTGGATTTCAGCTGCCATTATCCTTGGCCAGCTCGGTGTCCTTGCTGGCCTTGTTCCTATCCTCCAGCTTCCCCATTGATTTTGCTGGTTGCAAATGGTGATCACATAACTGCAGGATGCTGTGACCCTCATAAATGTCTGATGGTTGCGAAGCACCTGAATTAACATCACATGAGTTTGGCGATGCTGTGACAGTCAGAAATTGGATGACAGATCACAAATTTTTCAGTACAGTACAGTACAGCACAGTTCAAACTTCAAATGGACACTAAACAAATGTTTGGTAAATAAGGATTACTTATAGCTCATTAAAAGAAAAAAAAAAACACTTTTTCTGACCTTGTCCTTCCAAATCATTATTTGTAAAACACTAATTCATTGTGAGAAAGCAGGAAGAAATAATTATTCCACAGTGATGAATTCAGAATAAATGTCATGAAGATGTTTGTGCAGTCTCAGATAATTTACGAACCATAGGAATTTACGGCTGACACATATGTATTCCACAACATTTGCCACGTATGATTAAAAGAAGTAATTGGAAATCATTCTGAGTCGAAATCTTCAAAAACCATCAAGTAAATCTATTTGTTTTATATTTAACAATCATCCCAGCTGTGCAGAGTGCTACTAAATAGGTATTTTCATACATCCCAACACTTTTCCCAACATAGAAACTTTCCCAGGAGAATTTCTGATACCTGATTAAGAAAAAGCAAAGGAAATTGATGGCCAACAAATGTTTAAATCCATAGACACTTTAAAAAACTTTTCAACATGTTTTTGGTGATTAAAAGGCATATTGGTTCCCACAGAGGCACAGAAATGGCAGGGAATTAGCTGTCAGTTGAGCCAGCAATGCCTAAGAGAGAAGTACTCTCAGTGGATAATGAAAGGATGTTTGTCAGAAGGCTTTCTGAGACCAATCAATGTGCCTGAAAGAGAGAAAGTTAGAGGGCTAAGAGATGGTACTGGATGATGAGGACCTTTCCAGTATGATGACCTTTTATATCTGTCAAGCAAGTTAAACTTCTTAGTGCAGTGCAAACTTTCATCTTGTAGCAGCAATCTTAGTAGACATTCAAGGCTGAATCAGTTTCCATTGTCATCTTCCTTTTGTTGATATTGGTAGTAGCTACCCGCAGTGCATGGTGAACACAGGGCATGCATTGTCTTCCATTGGTCTCTCTCTGATCCTTTATTCAGGGAAAGCTGTATGAGTTCAGATCAATTATTCTTAATTATACCTATACTGAACAGTGAACCCTTTTCAGAATGAGATATTTGTTATAGGTAATAACTAACTGTGGTAGTGTTTCCTACAGAATTCACGTATTTTAGTGTTCTTTTCCCTTTCATGTGTGAATAAAATGCAGTTTTACAGTTTATGTACTTGATTGATCTGCAGTAGAACTATTAGTTTAATTGTTACATTAATCAGCCCAAATTATAGTCAATTAGCCTGTTGAGCCCAATGTTTATTGCTAAATGCTAATGGATTTAGGCTTTTGTTTATTTTTTTAATTATTTTATTTCTATCATGAAAGTACAGGAAGAAATGGAAAATAATATATTAAAACAGCTTCTCTGAATTAATTTTTTATTAACAGTTCAGCATTAACAGTTTAAAATAATTGGGTATTTTCCACAAAAATAGACATATTCATTTATGGAATGTCCTGTGTAATAAACTAAAACAGAAGTGTTGCAGCTATGAAAATCAAACTGTACATCAGTCCGACTGAACAAACCATCTACATATGAGTTTGACTACAGCTCATTTGTACCTTGAAAAGTCCTACTATGTGGGAAATACAAATTATACTTAATCCATCTGGGGTGTTAGGGATAATGATGCAGCAAAGGTGAATGTCTGCATTTATGCATATGAAAATGAATTTATACCAGTTCTCTTATATTGTAGGAACCACAACTCTTGAACTCTTCTGTGCAGGGCACAATCTCATTGCTGTGTAAATAAATCAAGTTTATGTTCCTTGTAGAGCCATATAAAGAGATGAACCAGGGTATGTTGGTCTATTAAAACTAATTTTGTTCATGGACATAAAGGAACCAGACAGTTACATGGGAGAAATGATTATTTGAGTTCCAAATCACCATTGAAATAACTTTTAATATCCTTAGAGAGAAACCATATTATTTGGAAGGCTGCAAATTTAACTTGTACTGTATTTTAGGAGTAAGCACATTAAGCAAGTATGAAAGATAAATCAAAACATATATGGGCAGATCCCAAAATGAACTGATTTCAAAGATTCTGAGAACAAACTAAATCTTAATGCTTAAACGCAATTGCTGCAAACATGAGGACGAAAAGGAACAAAATGTAAGCTCCAGTATGGAACAAGATTAAGACATGGCTAAACCTTTTCTTATACGCTACTTCCCCAAAATAAATCACATTAGGTATAAAAGATTTATGAGCAATAGAGGGCAAACAGAAAGATAAAACATCATTGGTTATTATTTCCATATCATTACTATTTTTATAGGAAAAACTATATATTAGAAGTTGGTTGTGTTACTTTAATCTTCATTAGGAATCATAAATTTGGAACGTGGATATAGCAATTATTCTTCATCATTGAATCTAGAATAAATAGCTGAGGGGTGGTATATTTCTTTGTGTATGATCTATAATTGAATAGTGTACCTTCTTGAGCTTCTTTATTCCTCTTTTCAGTAACAATCTTTCATTCATTTTCTAGCTAGCAAGAGAGAGAGCAAAGTACCATACAGCGAAATAATCATCTTCTACAAATAGCAAAAGCTCAGTGTTATCTGTTTCCATGGACTAAACTAATCTATAGTCATGTTTCCATGGAGAATGGTTCCACTTTCATTATGACCATTGAACATCCAAGCATCCAAACTATCCAGGAAAAATTTGCAAGCACTTGATAAAGGTGTTCTTCAAAATCCTTCAAAAATGTGATTGAGAGAAGGAGAACAAACACTTTAGAACAATACCAGTGAGGAGAAATAATCAATAACATTACATTTCATATTGTCTTCACATAGATTTCCTTCATGCTTGTGCCAATCATTAACCTATTTCCAATTCCATCTCATTTTTCTATTTCGCAGCTAGTGTTCCACTTTGAGGGAAAGCTGGCTAAAGAAAGTTTAATGAATATACATGGCCAATGTGTAATTACATTAGTATCAATGGCACTTCCTATTACTATGATTTCTATCTCCCAGTCACTCCAAAATAACTGGCACTGATCATAATCATAATGTTTTTTCCTGCCACTCTCAAAATGTTAAGAACATAGTTCTTCATAGTCAGCTATCTTTAGTTTCCAGTTGACCAAAAAGACAAAATTTCAACAAAAGCAACACAATCAACACCACACTTCAACCCTGTCCATTATACTATCCATCCTAAAATTTAAAAAACCCCAAAGAACTATGCAAGCTGCCTTCCCACAAATCTTAGTTATGCCAGTAGTTATATCTCTTTGCAAAATAATAGAATATTATCAGAAAGAGTTAATCAAACAAAATTTCTCATGTAGAGATGCCCACAAATATCATCCTAATAACTCACAGCTGTTGATTCAATGTTCATAGGAATGAACTTTCATATTATTTTGTTTTTAACAAAATGTATCAATGTTCAAAACTTTGCACATAGAGCCAAAAAAGACCTATTATTCAATACAGATTGAAAACCGTGTTATATTACTTTGTTTCTATAAATTAATTGTGCAACCAATTTATCATACTTTGAGGTCAATTGTATGACATTTTTTTATTGTCTCCACACTGCACTCCACCCTTCAACAAAATATTTTCCCAGGCAAATAATAATAATAAGATT